AGGAATGCTGCCTGACAATGACAAATTCAATTTTACATGACAGTAGAAAATGTTATCAAGACACTACCTTAAACTTTAAGTAAATTGCTTAGCTATACTAAATATATGTATGCTGCTACTATTCAGAACTGCATCTTTTTCATAACTTTACTCTTAAAATGCCCCTTTTTATCCTAGATCAATTCTAGTTCATCGTTCAAAGGAAATATCAATCCTCAATTCTTAATAAATTTTCTCAACTACTCCAGCCTGGTGATTTCTCTGAAATTCTTAGGTCTTGCCCAATCTTTATCATTACTAATCTTATATTTCTATTATTTTACATTAAAACTCTTTTTTTATTAAAAAAATCTTTATGTATTCAGAATCTACAAATAAATGAGTTTGGGACCTAGGAATTCTAAATTGTATTTGTTCTCCACCTCCCAGAGTCCCTAACATCACATTATTAACATAATTGTAATTCAACTGAATATGTTGATTATATCGTTAAGATAATTAATAAGCAGAAGGATTGGTCAGGCCATTTTACTATTTTTACCTTTATCTTCTTTTTAATGTTATCATAGTACAATGGATCTAGCCTTATAAAGAATATTTTTCAAAATAGGGTGTATTATCACAAATGAGTTTTTACAAGGAAGTTTCCCCATTTTGTAGGTTATATATGGACTTTCTAGCTCTATGGTACTAAAAAATGTTCATTTTTCAATAGTATGGCATTAAAACAAAAGTGTTAATTTACAAACAATGATGGTATATTTTTCTTTTAGAGCAGTTTTATTATGATGACTAATAATAATTTCTATATGTTTTCAACATGGTCAATGCTTAGTAGTGCTCCTGCATATCCACACATGAAATACAAGTGAGGTAAAAAGTAGGTTGAAAAAGGTAAAGATTGCTCATAATACCAGAGGGTACTGACATAGAAATAATAGGTAATGCCTGACTATATTTGACAAGTCCAAGGATAAGGACAGCAAAGATGAATTTTTCTAAAAGCCAAGGAAAAATAAAGTTTGCTTAGTACTAAAATTTAATTGTACATTTCTTTATAAAGGTCATCACATAATATTATCCAATAGCTCAGAGAATAGTATACACTTCATTCTATCTTTATTAAGAGACAAAATTTAAAAGAAAGTCCATTAGTTCTCAAGAGTCTTGTTGCTAGTTTTGTTCTCCCTCAAATCGAGCACAGGGTTATATCCTGGTGCAGTATTCATTCAATCCTGTGATTCATGAGCAACACATTAGAAAGTATTTACAACTATAGCTGCCATAAAAACAAAATATAATCGCCTAATTTTCATGGTGACAGGAACAAGTCTTCAAGAGCAGCTTAATTTACATTTATCATGTTCTTTAAAAAATAGTGTGGTACCTTTTTTTTAACAGAAAGATCATCAGGCAAAACTGATTGTCTTAAAAGCATGCAACCTTGGCCGGGCGCGGTGGCTCACGCCTGTAATCCCAGCACTTTGGGAGGCTGAGGCAGGTGGATCACGAGGTCAACAGATCGAGACCATCCTGGTCAAAATGGCGAAACCCCGTCTCTACTAAAGATACAAAAAATTAGCTGGGCACGGTGGCGCGTGCCTGTAATCCCAGCTACTCGGGAGGCTGAGGCAGGAGAATTGCCTGAACCCAGGAGGCGGAGGTTGCGGTGAGCCGAGATCGCGCCATTGCACTCTATCCTGGGTAACAAGAGCGAAACTCCGTCTCAAAAAAAAAAGCATGCAACTTTTAGGACTTAGAAGTCTAAAATTTGTGTCATTCATTGCAACTATTTCAATCTGTTGATTATTCACAGTAAGGGATGCATCCATGTAATTATCCAAGAATCTCATCAACAAAGATACTTGAAGCTTTGCCCTGTGTTTGATGGATCTGACAGTCAAACAATCAAAAGAGGGAGAAAATATTCTCTGTGATTATTTATTTTATGTAATGTCTCGATCTCCACTGAGAGCAAGTTGAATGTGTGGTTACAATCTCTATATGTAGTCAAGTCATCCCAGGAGTTGAGGGATAGGATGGTCGGCTTGGCCATGTTTTCACCTCTAATAAGATATAATGTGGTTTCCATGAACATTTTCAAAGAACAAAAGAAAATACATAGTGATAATCTGCATACAAACCTCTTTAGCCAACCCTATGAGTAACTTAGTACAATCATTGTAATATTTAAATGTGTAAGAAATACATCAATGTTCTGCCTGTTATGGTTTTGTTCTTTTGAAAAAAAATCACTTTATAAAAATTAAATATTGGGAGCTAATTATACTTTGTCTTTTTCAATGATAATAGTTTTAAAACTAGGTCTGCTTTTCTCATTCATCCTGAAATATTTATGAATTACACTATTTTACTTGTGACCCCAACAGGATGAAGCTTTTCCACCATCCTTTTGTTTCTCTGCTTAGAAGAACAAAGGATTGGGAAGAACAGAAACAATACAGGACAGGTGAATTTCTAAGAGTAAGACACGTTTTCCTCTGAGTAAAAATGCTCCATGTCTTTTATTTCTGGTAGAATTAGAGTCTGCAAATTTTGAAGCAGGATGCTTCAAATTTTGACGGATGCTTGGAATAACATTATGCCCTTTTCTTTTTATATTAATGTATTCCAAGGGTCTCATCGCTGTTTAAAAAGTAGCTTGCATGCTTTGATATTCTATATCCAAGGATACTGATCTGCCTTATTATTTTTGGAGAATGTTAATGAAAAGCAAGTCCCTTTGCTTCACTCTATTAGAAAATTCCATGACTCGATGTACGTAAAGTTCTAATTTTTATGTTTGAAAACCATTTAAAAATAATTCAATTTGCAAAAGACAGTATTTTCTATTTCCTCTTTCAGTGTTTTCTACAGCCTATTTACCTCTGTTCTTCAATTAAGAAAATTATAAAATAATTAATTTAAGACTTCCAGAATTATGGAATTAATATATGTTATGGAAAAAAAGATCTGTATCTCTTATTTTTAAAGAAATATCTGTCTCCTCAATAGAAAGAACTATAGCCTTTTTTTTTTCAATAAGATTTCTCACAGTCAAGTATAATTATTCAATTTTTTTATACCTACATCTTCCCATCCCCCCAATTTAGGAGAACTTCTCTTAAAAATATTCAGAGTATTAAACTCTGGTTGCGTTACACTTCTACTAAATTAACAAGATGTTAATATGTCATTCCAGGAGTATATGAAGTCAAAATGTCTATCCAAGATCCTCTTCTTCACAACTTATATATAGGAGAATGTGACCGTATTCATATATGCTGGATAAATTAGAAAGTCTATCAGAGAACAAGTGTGAGGGGATATCAACCTTTAGCTGAATAAGGACACTTTCTCATCAGGGAAGGTTTGTTTTTGCCTTAGTGTTGGTAAAGTTGCTTTTTACCCTCTCAATTATTGAACAGAAAGTTTATCGTCCCCTTAAGGCCATTTAAAGGAACACAGATGACGTCTTTATGTTTTCCTTCCCTTCTTCAAGGCTTAATGAACTTTAGGGTGAAGTTTACAAAGCCCAGAACAGAGAGCTTGCTTGGGAACACTGTGAAGCACCTGATGACGGTCTATTTTTTCCTACTTGTGAGAATCAGAGATTTGGACAGCTTGTCTTTTTACATTTATGTTTCAACACTTCAGTCTGACTTAACAAGATGTTTAAAGCTGAGGTTGGGGTAGAATAATTCTTGAGACTTAAGGGATGTTGAATTTCACACTCTATATAAGGGAGCTTAGCATACCAATCTTTGCTTTAGGGGAGAATCAGGGAGTTATTCTAGGGCTTGCTAAGCATCATAGTTGACACAGCAGAGAAACCTTTCACTTTTGGCCTCCTGCCATGCCCTGTGAATAAAGGAGTATGCCACAGTCATTTACAGGATTTACAGAACTATTTTTCCCTTGAGAGATTTAGTTCTACTTCACCTTAACTCATTACTGATTCATGGGCTGCTGTTTTTGGCTAAATGTGTTGAAGGAGCAATGTTAGCTGAGAGGCTAGCAACATTTGCAACAGGCTCTTCCATCATCCTATCCTACTGGAATTTTGCTGTCAAAATATTCACTCAAGACTCTGCCTTTCTTTCTTCTCTTCCATCCATCCCCATAGTACTTTTTCCAATTAAGGTCTGCTTGTAAAAGGACTACATTTACTAGTCATGTTTCTGTCATTTGCACTTTACAAGGTACTCTTTTTATTAAGCACCAGTCCATAAAATGCCTGGAAGTTCATCCTTTTTTTCTACTCCCCACTGACAGTTGGCTTTGATGTAGAGGGGAGAAATGAATCTGCTCAATAGTCCTCGCTCAAGTAGAAACTTAGGCTAGACGGCAAAAGTAGTTTAGCTGCCAAGACCTTTGGCTGCACCATTAGACCAGCATGTAATTATCTATTTTATAGTTAGCCCAGGGTAGGCTGAAATAATCATTTTCCAAAATGGACCTAGCAATTATCTTGGTAGACAGGTGTTTGTTTATTGAGTCTTATCACTTTAGAATTAAAGAGTATGTCGATAAATACTTTAAAGATAATCCCAGATAACTTTCTATTACTGAATAATAGGAGAACAGACTCATTTACTTAAAAATTGTGCTTAGAGGCCAACAGATAAAGAGTTGAACAGATAGCCTTTGACACTCATGGCATTTAACAAAGTGAAAACTTTTGGTTAATGGAAACTAAGCCCAAATTATCATTTTCCATGTTATTACTGTGATCCTGATTTGGACTGGTGCTAGCATAAACTTACCCACTATAAGAGCATTTTCCTGCTCCACCAAACTACTAGACTACTGTGAAACTTTTGTTGGATTCAGTAATACCAATTTAACCTGTTAATTACTGATAGAAAGTACATTTGTGCCCAAGAGTGACTTAGCTAGGTTGGACGACGATTTCTCAATGCTAATAAGTTGACGGGGGGGAGTATACATGACTAAAGGAGTGGGGTTACAAAATCAAATTATTCAACACAACAGGAACATTTTTTCAGCATCACCTTGATTTATTTTCCTAGTCTTTTTTTCCTCAGATGGAAAAATAATTTCATCAAGAAAACAAATGCTTCTGCCAGAGTGAAAGAATTTCATGTTTTAATGCTTTTCTTAAAGAAAGTCAACATTGAACCAGGGCATGCTCTGCCTCCCCACCCCCATTTTGCTGACTACATTTTTAAAAAAATGTATTGGCAGAAAACAAGATATTTTCTTCCAATAGAGTGATTATGTTTTATTGCTATTTTGTTTAGTATACATTTTTCTCAATTGGGAAAAAAGTCTAGGTGAAAAAAAATACCTAACAGGAAAAGTAGTTTACATGGTCACAACATTTAAATTGCTGCCAAAAAATGTAAAAAAAAAAAAAATTTAACGTAAAATGCCACATAACTTCAAAAACCTTACCTCAATTTTCTATCACTTATCATGTACTATAAGTCAACTTCCTAAATAAGATTACAGTCCTTTATTATAAGCCCCTAGTGGTACTATAGTATACATTTAAAAAACACTACTACAAAAATTTTCTTTTCTTTTTGTTTTTGCTTATTGTATACTTAGCTATAGATACTTTTTGAATAAAAGGCCTACGGTAGATATAAATGCAATAGTTAACTGATCCTGTTTGCTGATGTCCTTTTTATTTTCCACAGGTGACATCTTTTAATCCAGCATCTTCTCCTGTTTCTTGCCTTCCTTTTTCTTTTTCTTAGATTCTGCTGTAATTAAAAAAAGAAGGGAGAAAAAATGTCAAGTTATTAAGTTGCAGGAAAGAAATAGCCACATTTCTTATAATTGACCAGGAATGAAAAAATCAGATTGATACACAAGTTGCTTGCTCTTGGTAGTTCTCTTGATAAATTGAGAAAAACTATGTGTGTGTGCATGTGTGTGTGTCTGTCTGATCTTGCCAAGGGAGTGCCCGTGAGACTGAGCAGGAGGAACATCGCCAGCTTCTGTGTGAATTCCATTAATGCCTCTTATCTTACTGATTGCCTTTGTTTGATATGCAAGATACTGACTTGGGGTCCTGCTTAGAAAATGGAAATACAGCATACATCTCTTAGTAAATTACCCAAATTATCATTTTACATCTTATTACTGTGATCCTTGTCACTGTTCAATGGAAAGATATGAGAGCCCTGCTTGGCACCTCATTTCCCCCATTCCCTGTCTGTGGGACTCTTTAGTAGTATATTTTCTGAGCAAACAATTCCAAAGTGCTTCCACTCCATTTCAGCCCTCTGCTTATTATACATCTGGCCAGCTACCTGTATAAGAAGGAACAGCAATAAACCACATGTACTCTATCTGGACCTTGCCTACAGCAACTCTTAGCTTGGGGTAAAACAAATGGAATGTGTCAACATGGGCTCTAGGAAAGTAAAACATTGAGGATTTAAATCGAAAGACTCCATTCTTTTCCATTCAATCAGCTTTCTACTTCTCTTTTCCTAATGGGAGAATGCAATATAGAATAGAACACATCTAATTTGGCTACAAAGACAAAAAATGGCCAGAATCACTGGGCTGGCAAGTCAGGGGATGTTGCTAAATATTTCTGAGCCACTTCCCCAATTTGGTCTACAGTCGTGGTAGACACACGCTGGTTAAGTACAGGCTCTGGAGTCAGACTGCTGAAGTTTAAATCCTGGCCACATCATTAAGTTACTGTGAGACTCAGAGAAGATGAATTAACTACTCATCTTTAAATAGGCATATGAATAGTACCATAGCATATGATGGTAACCATAGGGTTTATATCCAAATTCAACATGTTGCATAAAATCCACTGAGAACAGAACACGATATAATAGCATGTGCTCATTAAAGGTTAGCAATTATCATTAAAGTGATAATAGACCAAGAACAAGAAATCATTACCCTGTATAATTTAAATCCTTAATAATCATCAAGACTTATTGATTGAGCAGGTCAGTAAATGTGCTAAGCAACATAGGGCCACTGGGACATAAACAATGACCAGCAGGGGTTATTAGGTCATTGTTCACTGGAGCATACAGCCTGTGTCCAAGAGGAACATAAAACTTATGATGACAGAAGATGTGATATGATGCCAACCAGAAATATTGGTGTTTTTCAGCTCATACTGGAGTAGAGCTGGAAACTTTTCCATTTCTATGTACTATCTCCATGACCTCTTCAGGTGGGTTCCAAAGTCTGTTACATACTAGTAGTATTTTTGTTCAACGGTAATTGTCCTAATCTTCCTTTACCCAAACGTTAAGGGTACACCGTATGCAATTGGGTCAGCATCTTCTAAACCCAGGCTAAATTGTTGCCCATAACTGTATACATTCCATTCATGCCTTGCTAAGTTTGTCCAAAAATACGAAAGAAATTTAAACTTTCACTCTCTCTAGTTTTGTTTGTTTTCTCAAATATCTTCCTTTCACCCTATGAGTGGTATAATGACCAGAATTTCCAAGTGAAAGATATCTTTTAGGTCAAAAGAGATATTCTGTGTAATTTCTGAAAAAATATTCAATCCCTGCAAATTTGACAATTTCCAGTTTTTGGTCAACATTTTAGGTAACAGCTGTACATTAGGATGGTATCTTCAGATAACAAGGTAGTAGTTCAACTGAGACCTAACTCTGGTTTTCCTTGTCTTTGTTTCCTCGTGTCCCTTCCTGGGAAACCCTCAGGAATTTGTTATCTTCTAGATCTCCAGTAGAGTGAATGTCTGAGTAGCAATTTTCCTATTTTAGCTAACATGTTTCTATTTCATACATAAAGTCTGAGTTGATAACATACTAATCAGGTTTTTGTATAAAAGTTTCACAAAACTTAAAATTATCCTGAACATTGGACACTATTTTATCTGCTGATGTAAGGTTGTCCATTTCAAAGAACATTTCTGGTATTAATAATCTGTCACCACATTCTTCTTGGCAAAGGCAAGAGCACACTTTCTCTGTTACCTGAACCTGACATTTGTGTTTTATTCATTAATTCACAACTCTCTGAATGCCAGGAGATCAACCACGTGCTTATCAAATCTGCACAATGTCAATCGACTTATCCTTCTGACACAAGTGGCAAGTCATCATGGCACTGCCTGGACACCCGGAAGACCTTGAGCCCATTATGGGCTCAATCTAAAGAGAAAAATAAGGCATCCTCGGTAAAAAGTAGGGAAAAATTTGTGTTTGTAATAAGGTCAGTTTAGCTTCTTACATAACAAAATGTTCAAATATTTGTGAAAAAAATCAGGTCAGTAATATTACTTCCAATCAAAAGAAGTTTTTTGTCTTTTATTTATGCTCAACTGCCACCCTAAATGTGCTTCGTCACTGTTTATCTCTGTGCTCTCAAAAACTTATTAAAACCTCTGATTCTTTACCTAGCATACATGAGGGGTTTAAAATAGTATCGTAATTTATGATCTAGAAAGAATGTGGTCCAACTCCCTTATGTAATAGACGAAGAAACTGAAACATTCACATTGCCTCTCTTTACTTCCATCTTCATACCTGTGCTTATTTTAGTTTCCCAAACACATCTTTGCTGTTTCTGTCTCTCTCTTTCTCTCTAGTCTCTGGCCTTTGATTCACTCTTGATTTCATCAACCCCACATTTCCACTGCCATATTTGCCTCATTAATGCCTCCCATTCTTCAGGTACCAGCTTTGACAACACTTCTAGTTTGCTGATCACTCAGTCTGAGTTAGAAGGTATTTATCTTTCCTGCTCTTGTTAGAGCACCTATCTCTAGCATTGTAATCGCCAGCAAAATACAAGCTGTTTCTACTCTCTGTTGTACCTCCAGTCCATAGCCCAGAGCCTTGTGTATAAAAGCTGGTTAGTAAAGTTTTAGTGAAAATAAATGAATCCATAACATGGTGATAATATGTCTCACCCATTTTCCTTATGAAGGTTCTTTGAATTTGTTTTTGCTTCTTTCCATCTTAGTTTTTTCACATTATTTTCTCTCAGCCTGAGTGTTCCTTCTCCTACTACCCCGATTTACCTGCTCAACACCTAGTCATCCTTAAAATCTTAGCCTCAGCTTCATTTTCTCAGGGAAGCCCTCCAAGAGCTCTCAGATAAGCAGGTTCCACACACACACTCTCGTCGTGTCTCTCATTGATTTTTTTCCACAATTAGAATTGAACTATTAATTTTGTCTCTAATTATTTAGCGTATGTTTTCCCTTTCTATGATAGTAGAGGCCCTATCTGCATTTTGCATCTGTATGTTCTGTGCCTGTGACATAACAAGTACTCATGAAATACTCGTTGCATGCAGAGTGGATCAATGAATGTTTGAATGGGAAGTAGTCAACCCGTTGCTACACGGGAAAGAGTAATTCAAGGAAAATAAGGAGCGTAAATCCAATCAGAATCTTGTCCTATTTCAGTCTATCTTTACAGATAAACACTTTATGAAGAAGAAAGTTTACAAAAATACATATATGAAATTTATCCAGACTTCTTAACACTTTGTCTTATCTTTAGAGATCTGATTAAACTCCGTGGGTAAAACTGTCCCAGTTTAGTTGTCTTTCCTGGTTAGAGTTAGAGAAATATTTACTGTGAGATGTGGGTCACAAATTAGCCTGGAGCAGGGCTATAATTAGTTAAAGCCAAGTGCTTTTTATTGAAGTCATACAATGGTTACTCTCACGGATTCTAATAGCCAATAGGATCCCTACCCTGATGTGAACAGTAGGGCACTTTAGTTCACATCGAACAGAGCCAAATCAAAAGAAGGAAGTATACACACACCACACATCAAACGACACCCCAGGCCACAGTCTCTTGTCCCTGACTGGATTCAGGCTGCAAAGCAGAAATGGATGCCAACAGAGAATGAGCCATTGTGAACATGTGAAAGTTAAGGGCACCTGCCTGAAAGGTGACTTGTTCCATTCCTACCAGGACATCACTGCACTGGAATCTCACAGCAGTGCCCTGGGTACATTTTAACTTTCTAGGTTTTCAAACTTTCATCCTTTCTTTGGCCAGTTTTTGAATTGATAGGCGCTAGCACACGTCGTAACTGGGATACAGAGATGAGAAAAAATAGCAGGTTTGTAAACTTTATATTTCTTAAATAGAAATACATTGTTTTGTTTAAGATATGTTTGAAAGTGTTCAGAAAGTCCTAAGGCTTTCCTAAGAAAAGGTGCTCTAGAAAGGATTCAGGCTTCTTGCATTGCTGTGAATCATAGGATCCAAAGGGCCATGTTCACCGTATTCTATCTAGAAAACTTAGAATTTATCCAAGGAAATTCTTTCAAAACATAGGAACTCCTGACAAGAAAGAAGATAGGCAATGATATGGTTTGATATGTGTCCCCACCCAAATCTCACCTTGAATTTTTATCCCCATAATCCCCATGTGTCAAGGGTGGGGCCAGGTGGAGTTAATTGGATCATGGGTGCAGTTTCCCCCATGCTGTTCTGTGATCATGAGTGAGTCTTATGAGAACTGATGGTTTTATAAGTATCTGACATTTTCCCTGCTTGCACTCATTCTCTGTCCTGCCACCCTGTGAAGCAGTACCTTCTGCCATGATTGTAAGTTTCCTGGGTCTCCCAGGTATGTGGAACTGTGGGGCAATTAAAACTCTTTTCTTTATAAATTACCCAGTGCTGGGTATTTCTTCATAGCAGCATGAGAATGGACTAATACAGTAAATGCAGTGAGAAGAATGCATAGAGATTAACATGAGCCATGTTACAATAAG